AGACAGACAGACAGACAGACAGACAGACAGACAGACAGACAGACAGACAGACAGATAGATAGATAGATAACATTTTTATAGCGCAAATTCCCACTCCGCAGCAAGCCCTATGTTCTACTACATGATAATCTGGCTTTCGTTCTGAAATAACTATTATAATTCTCCAGGGAGAAAAATACACATAAAAAAGGTTCTTTCCGTTTTGGTTTTGTTTTTTGTTTTATAGTAGAGGGTTTTACGGCGCTCGCAACTGCATAAGGTCATATGAGCGCCAAGGGGTGTGTGTCAACAGAGAAGTCTTTACAGGAAATCAGACTTACTCTGTTCACCTCTCTAGCTTCAACAGCACAAGGTCTGCTTCGACTATCAAGGCACCCCAAAATAGCAGGTCACAAGGGAGTGACAAACATACAAAAGAAGTAGAGGAAATGACAATAGTAAGGATCATCAAAGAAAAGGCAGCAGTTCCCTGTTGTAGATCAGGCACAGTTATGAGCGTGACATGAATCAGCCCATTTACAATTCTACTATATTTGAACGAGAAATGTCCCCCCTTTGGGAATGGCCTAAAGACACTTCAGTCAGTGACACTGCCCCGGGGGGTGTCTTTGTGTTTGTGTGCTTTAAAAAATCACATTCAAAAGTAACGTCATATATCTCAAACAGTACAGTCGTACCTGCTTTAACACTAGCCACCTATTCACGACTAACGCTTATACAAACGACCGCTTCCCGCTCCCCCCTGCCTCTCCCCCCTGCCCCTTTTTTCGTTTATTTGAATTTTAACGACACTGTCCAAGAGGTCCACCTGTTTAAGAAAAACACGTTTCTACTGAACAATGGGAGGCGGTTTCGACTGTACCTAATATACAGATAATAATAATAAAATAATAATAGTAGATAGAATTTCTTTTGTGCACATTCCCGCCCAGCAGCAAGCTCTATGTGCTTTACAATCTATATTATTACCCCAGCAGACCTTATAGCAATCTGAAACAATCTCAACTTCCCGAGAAGCATACAGTGCAAGCTGCCATTTTATAGGAGCCAAAACACCACTTACACACTGAGAAGATCTTTCGCTGGGTACCCATTCTCAGAAGGGTGAAGTGAGGAAAATTTGTGTAAAGTGCCTTTCCCAAAGACACAACGTCAGGCCTCATGCTCGAACCCCTGAACCCGCAACCTCGCGATCACGAGCCGGTAGCCTACCCACTAAACCACCATGCTAACTTCACATAGAACCTTTAGAAACTCATATAATAATGTTATACTAGCCGAAATGTCGTAGGCAAATGCGAGGACACAAACTTCTTCCTCAATTCTTTGCTCAGAATTAGAAAAATATTTAGTCAGGAAATTTTTACCTGAAATGAAATACTATACAATTTCGGAAATGTTGAGCAAGTTTTCATTTATCGTTTTCACGAAAAAAAAGAACTGCCTAAAAAGCAACTAAACAATTATTTTGTCATCTCATTGTTACAAAAAGATGGAAACAGTACAATGCACAGTCCCCCCCAACTTCCTATACTATATATGGAACTTCTTACGAGCAATGAGCATATTTCCATATTAAGTACATGTATTACGAGGGTAAAATAGGCAGCTATCGTTTTACCTTGACCTCTGCACCCTAAACGTCAGGAGGGGGGGGGGGTGGACAGGGATGAAGTTCCACAGAAAAAATGGGACTTACACACAAAAAAAATTTAAAAAACGCATTAAGAAGAAATGACTAAAGTTCAGTAATAATAGATATCAATAATATACTGCATTTATGTAGCACACATCCCTGCTCGAAAGTGTCCAAGAAAATTACTACATTATGTACAAAAACAAAGTTCATGGGGATTTTTGAAGTATCATAAATAAATCACACTGGAATTACTTGGCCAATTAAAGTGAATATTGTGAAACTATTGTGCCTATTAACTCAGGGAAGATACACGACTATAAATAGGCCCTGTATCCTCCTAATACCCAGTGCCCATTGGCAAGATCGGTTCGTTTCAGTTCAGTTTGGTTCGATTTGGTGGTCAGGGCTAGCCAGATTTTCCTCTATGGAGAGAGAAAAGCTACCACCGTGGCACAAACCGAACGAAACCGATGATTGACCTTCAAGAACAAACGCGTCTGTTTTCAAGGCTGCGAGTTGGACGATCGGTGAGAGACAGCGAATTTATAGTGTGCACTGAAGGCACCAGATACCAAACCGAACCAAAATGAACCAAACCAACATGAACTGAACCGAACCAAACCCAACCGAACCCAGCCTCCAATGGGCATTGCCTATAACAAAACTCACATGGTCTTGAGGAGCTCCTTGTAGTCAGCGTCCCCGTGGTGCTCCAGGATCAGACTGTCAAGCTCCTGGTACATCTTTTTCTCCACCTGAAGTACATCAGAGTTATTTTTTATTTATTTTTTTGGCAAAAGTTTTACAGCACTTGCAACACAATAGTGTCATATAAGTGCCGAAGATTAGAGTTGTTACAAGAGAGTAACAAACATAAAAAAGAAGGAGGAGAGATAAACACGATAGTTGTTTGATAGGAAAGAAGGAGCCAACCACTCACACATTGGAGTTACATAGGTTTAGTTTACTCTAAAAAGATGAAGTGAACACACAATCAATATATACTTAAGACTGTGATAAAATTTCTTCCCAAACAGGAATGAAACTTGGGTCTTCCGTGTGCAAAAGCGAAATGCCTAACTACAGATGCCCTTCTAAGGTATCTTTTAGGTAATAGACTGTAAATAGGCATGCAAATGGTTTTTTAAAAACCACACCACTCTTTTCCCGTCATTCATCTATTCAAATTCAGTCAGTAACTTATTGTTTCTCTAACCATGCCTCTTTTGCCTTCTAATATATGGTTAGCAAGATGATCAAGGCCCTTATTTCAACTTGAGCTTCCGAGACAGTGCATTACTATGTCTCTTCATAATTCACTATACATTGCAAAAAGGAAAATAAAAGAAATTCATAACTGACCCGCCCGAGGTTTCCCTGAATTCTCATCTCACATTGCAGAATGTCGAAGAAGATGGGGATGGTAGCTTTGCGCAGCTCTTGCTGAGGGACCATGGTCACCCGCAGAAATGGGTTAATAATCTCAAGGATCAGATGCTGCTTGTTTGTGCCTAGGAAAAAACACACCAAAAAACAAACCTCATACATAGGGCACTATGAGATGCTTTAATCAACAACTTTACCTGAATTCAGTGTCATCATTCTTAATGTTCATAGCAACGGCACATATATATATATATATATATATATACACAGGAGACTGTCTATATGGAGACAAGAATATTAAAACAAGCTAATAAGTATTTTTAAAATCAAACCACTCTTCATACATTGCTATTTCTATAAAGAAAATACTGTACTTGGTAAAGCCAACAACAGAAAAGAGTTAGACCAGGCTACCTCGTAACAAGAATTTCGCTGAAAGAGATCCATCATATTAAAATAAATAGTTACCACATATAAGTTCAAGGGGGCGAAAAAAGGTGGAAATAACGAAGAAATATGTATGGAGCAGTAGGTTGAAAATGGATGGTCTGTAATCATCATACCTAGTTGATTCCACAAGGAGTGTATTTGAAATCCAACGGGAACCCGCATGTCATCATACCTTTCAAACAGAGGGGGGGAAAAAACGTCATCAGAATAACACATACAAACTGAAATGATATGCAGGAGCAATTACAACGGTTCCTTGTCAGAGATGAAGGTTCATTTATTTACTCATTTGAGAAGAATATAACATATACATGTAATTCCCAAATGGTGATTAGGCAAGGCATTTCAAGGACAGAGCAGCTTGCACAACTGTCAAGCAAAAGGGTCTCCAAAAATATCTTCTGCAAAAAAAGCTCTTTTTTTAAAGATATATTTTGAGAAAAAAAAAGATCAAACATCTACAATTTAACCAAAAACAGAGGGAAAACCAATTTGTTAAAAATTGTATAATAATTCTAACAAATAATGGTTGCTTTGTGTCACCTGTCCTTAATCTGGCTGCGCTTTGCCTCTGAGTAAAGCTCAAGTTGCAGGGCGCGTTGTGTGATGAAGTCAACAGCCAACAGGAAGAAGTTGTGCCACAACTGAGAATAATGATCATAATGATGTTGTTAACAACAACAACAACAACAACAACAACAACAACAACAACAACAACAACAACAATAATTACACTTACATAGCCCATACCCATGCTCAGCATGCTCTGTATGCTTTAAAATCGTTATCACCCCAGCAGACAAGGTATCTCATGGTCTAGAAGTACAGTGTTCTCCTCTCAATCAAAAGGTCCAAGGATCAAAATCTGCCAACGATGAATTACATTTTTGCCTGTAGAATTGTCTCTTTTGTCCTCCTTTCCAGTTCCTTTTCCCTCTTCTGCCATCTGCTTTAAATCTCCACTTGCTCCCCCTCCTCCTTCTCTGCTCCTCTTTCCCTTGAGCCTGTATTTTTCTACAATCAGTGGTATACATTTAAAGCCCCTATCAACACTATTCGGTTATTTAAGAGGTGGGACCACCGAGGTAAACACCCATATCCGAAAGAAAAAAAGGAGCCTGCTTCAACAGAACACGGTTAATCTGAAAACAGTGTGGGCAGTTCTTTAGATTTCAGTTTAAGCGTACACCACTGTATATACAGACACACACTCACACGCATACGCGTACATGCGTACACACACACAAACAAACATATATATATATATATATTATGTATTCATGTCGGGTTTTTTGCTGACCAGCAAAACCAAAATTTTGTGAGACTTTTTCTGGTCTTTTACAATGAGCCACTAATATATTTCGAGTAAGACTAAGACAAAGGAAGCACATTACAAAGATCAGATCAAAAACCTTTGTGTTTAAGTTTAATAGAATTGTTACATCTAAAAGAGGTTTGTGCGAGTGCCTCACCTCTCGATCAAAGTTTCCCCCGGAGAGAAAGTTGATGGTGAGATCATCAGCGA